TTAAATAAGCTTGAATTTGATGTAAAAGACGTAAGTGTTACTCATAAGCAACTACCTTAACGTACTGGAAACAGATTTCGTCTGTAGTGTTTTCTATATAAATTAAGTATATAATGATGATAAAAAAATTGTTAAATATATCATAAATTTCATAATATATATATCTCTTTTCGACATTTTTATCATTAGTAATGCAATTCTTACTCTCCCAGTTGTTACGTATACATAACAAGGAAAAGTTTTGAATTCCTTTCAAATTTAACCCTCCTAGTCTTTTGTAAATCTTCACGTTTTAAGATTTCTTGAATCCAAAAAGTCCAAAAAAAGATAAAATTTCGCTGTGTGTTTATATTGGCATCTATTTCGTTTAATATCTGAAGATGGAGTAAGGATGAATAAACGAGATTTTGTATGATAGCTTGTGCATATGGGACATTGTTGCTGTCAAATTTTGTTAGTTAAAAATGCTATGTGAGGAGATAGAGAAGTGTATGTGTCATATCTCGAGTGGGGTAGACGTGATGAAAATTTTACCCTTTACTAACATTTACGCTTATTTATTAAGCTTTTTCCATATTATAATAATTAATAATAATGATATTGTTTAAAATAAAATCTGTTAACAGATGGTTTCAAATTATGATTAATAATACAAAAGTTATTTTTAAAATAAACTCTTATAACAGCCGAGAAAGTTATGCAACCCGCTATTGAGTTGTTTATTGTACGATAGAACAGAATTAATTTTAAAATTTAAATTGCTTATTAGTTTTAATAATATGCTAAGGCAATTAAAGTAAATAAATGTAAAACTTTATTCATTAAATGAGGTAATATATTACATTTATTGGCCCAATCACAAGCATAATTTTCGTCAAATATCGTCCTCTGAAATTCAATGTATCTTTGGACATATTGATGTGACATAGTTTTTCGCAAGAAACTTTAATTTGTTATGAATTTCTTTCTGTTTGGCTTTTGTAATTAATGTTTATGATGAAAACAAATCTAAGTAATTTGTACTTCGTTCAGTATAAACTAATTGTAATTTATTTGTAAATTATAGGTGCATCTTCATTTTGATATGTCAACATTATACGAATTTATCAGTCCCGATTGTCTGCCCTTAGAATACGGAGGAAATTTGTCAAGTTTCGATCCTACTGAAGCCATTAATATGATTAAAGCTAACGAAGAATTCTTTAGAAAGAACGAAGAATACGTGAAACTGTACGAAGAACAAAGAAATAAAAATTTCAATAATGGCACATTTCGCTACATTCGTGAAGAAATTGAAGACAAAAAAGTGAAGAAACTTATAGAAAAAACCGAAGAAAGATTTAAATGTTATTCTCATGATCCAGAAGCATTTTTGGGTGCTATGAAAGAAGATTCTGAATTTGAAATTACACATTTCTAAATGATATAAACTTATGCTATTCTGATGTAAATTGATATAAATATCTTTGAAATACTCTCAAATCATATGTAAAATTACTGTTGGTAATAAATTTAGATATAAAACATATATTTAAGTATCATTGGTTTAAAGATTTACACACGGTTTTATGAACCAAATGGTAAGGAAAATTTGAATTTTGTTAATCCTCAATGATTTTAACAACCTTCATTCTTCTCTTCCTCGTACATTTATTACAACTTATTTTATAATTCATTATTCTTAAAACATTTAAATATTGTTATTTCATAATTTAGTTTTTATAAAATAAGCTCTTTTTGTCCTTGGGCGCTAAAAGAGCTTTTTTTAGAAAGCTCGTTATGGGTTCGGCTAGGACAAAATAAAGCGAATGGACGGTGAAGGAAATTCCGGACAGATTACCCCCGAAAAATTCTGGTTCGAAACTGAAAAAATTATGGGGAGATGATCCATCTGGACAAAGGTACGTGTACAAAGGCGGCATCTGAAACATCTGGCGAGTCGGCCATAGAAAGGAAGTTCAACTTTCCTTCATGAGGAAGTGAGCTACAGCAGTTTCCTTTCATTGTAAAAGTTTTTCTTTCAATATTTTTATACAATAAATTATTTTTTAAAAATTTTATAATAATTAAAAATAAACGATCCCACGGATCTCACAAAACGAAACCAGTCGCTTGTTTTTATCCATTCTTCTTAAAACATATTATCAAATTTTACTATCGTTTAAAATTTAAAAGTGACAATAATATCTCATTTCTACGTGAAAAGTAAGTAAATTATAGTAAAAAATCAACTTCTTCTCATCTCTGGCAAACTAAATTAAACCGCATATTAAATTCCTTTGGAGTATCCGAATTATTATTTAAAGATAATATCCTCCACTGGAAATATGGCTATAATATGCTAATGGAAACAGCAATATCTCAATTCATAAATTCCGATCAAATCAGCTTAAATCGTAGTTCCTATCATCCTTGGTACTTAGAAATACTAAATATACCTTCTCTACAACCATACATAATGAAGCCGATTAACTTCAATGTAAAAAGACTGGTAACACAATTACGATTGAATAAATACTCCATTTATACTAATAATACTTATATTGACCTCTCAAATAATCAATGTCCATGGTGTAAAGCTAAATACTCTTCAATGGAACATCTACTCTTAAAGGTTGTCTGCAAGAGGCACTCTAGAAGCCCAGAATTGCTAAGCATTGCAACTGTTTGGATCTTCTCCCGGCAGTGGAGGATCAGACACTCGGTGGGTTTCAAGAGCAACCTGGTTTTCATGCCTCCTTGTTTTAAATATTAAGTAATAGAAAGTACTTTATAAGTTTATTAGGGTGGAGTAAGGCCTCAAGACAATGGCCGACTTCGCCGTGTAAACGTGTATTTCCTGAAGCTTAAAGGGTACAAAATGTAAAGATAGTCTTATTTTACTGTATTTTTCCCACACTAAATTACTCAGTTATAACATTTATCTTCTTGCATATTTTAATAAGTTTGCTGTTGAAAATAATGTTGTGGCCGCCAGCGCCAGAGATCCTGAACACTGTCTGGCAACACTTGCCAGGATCACGAACTCTGTCTGGCAACACTTGCCAACAAGAGTGGCTGGCAACGTCAAAAAAGAAAAGGCGCGAAAGTTCGTTGGATTTTGTCCGGGTGTTGCCCGAGGATGTCTGTGACAGTTCTAACCTTTTCTAATAAAGTTCTTTTTTGTTACTGTTCGTGTTTGCCTGCTTAATGTTAGATCTAAACATCAGTAGGATTGAATGACAAAATGTAAATTAAATAGGAAGAAAGAATAAAATTTAGTTTTTAATTATTATTTTTAAAATTTTTTACTGAAACTCGTGTGCATTTATTTTTACATTTTTATTAAAAATTGTTAAACTATTGATATTTATTACACTTGATGTATTTTTATGTTTTTTAGTCTAATCAGTGCCGAAATTTCATCACTTCCTATCGATAAATTTAATTTATAATATAATTTTCTGTATTTTCTGTACATCTACTGGATGTCTTTATATATATAACAAGATAATAGAATAAATTTTTTAGAAAATTTATTTCATTTAAACAAAGCTAATACAGGTATTTTATACGAGCCAGTTTCCCTTATAAAATGCTGGTGGGAAGGATTTTTCCTCTTGGCAAATCGCATATGTGTTCTATTAGCGTAACCATTCAAGTTAGTGTTTTATACTTCTGTTATTATAACTTTAACAAGTAAAGGTTAACTTATAAACAGAAACGAAATTTTTATCGTTAATGTAAACAGATCGTAAACCTCAATATGTCGGTCTTTTTTGAAAGGTTATTGTGGACCGAACCAACGATAACCTTACAAAAAAAGCAATCTTAGTGCCCACATAGCGGTTAGGAGTATAATAGCCCTTAATCCCTACATTAATTGTTAATAATAACATTTAAACAATTTACGAGTAGATAACGTAATTAATTATCTATAATGTAAAAAAAACAAAAAAAAAACGAAATTAGATAAATTGAATTGTCGTTAGGAGACTAGCAGTGTTATTCTCATATAAAAAATGTACAGTTCAGGGTCATGCAGAGTTACACTTGATTAATTAAATTTGAATATTTTATCTTTTTTACCTTTTTTTTTCTTTTTGTGTAATATCAAAAAGAATTCTGATATTAAAAATTTATTAATAAATTTTCTTTAATTGTGCCATATAAAAGACCACGATATACTTAGAAAAACAAGTCTTTGTTAATGATAAAACTCAGAAAATAAATTAGAATAAATTATATATTAAGTTATAAGAAAGTTTCACTTGTATATTTACTTCTATAATGCGATTTGCTAAATAAAATAGGAAATAAAAGTTATTGACCTTTAACATATGTCGTTGGTAAAACAATATTAAGGACGTCATTACTTCTTTGTATTTTCCAATATACAATAAACATCTTGTGTATTTAAAAATAAAATAAAATGTTCATGTTTGTCGGTTATTTTTACACACATCTCGTGAATATGATACTGTAGTTAAGGAATAAACCTATATTTTGAGGCGTAAACAATTCTTTAAAGGTCTCCCGGTGTATAGAGATTTAGTACACAGAAGCGACGAGCCTGGGAAAAAAGACTTATCGAATGAAGTTTTTATTAATTGTGATGTCAAAATTGAAGACATAAGGAAACTCTGTGTTACTTTTTTGTGTGAAATCTTAAATGAAATTATAATTTAAATAGATTTTATTAATTGATATTTTTCGAGGACGTTAAAAATAACAGCCATTTTAACCTTGTGCTTTAAAATATTCATACGTGTTCTGTATATATTAAGTAGAAAGATAATAAATTACAGTACTTAATTTATCTACAATAGTATATTATATATTTGTTAATATGAATTTATATATACTGCACATGTCTACAGTAAGGCAATTAAATGCGAACTAATGTATATTTACTGAGTACAAAAGTTTTTTACATTTATAGATTATATACGTTGGAATTAAACTAGTAAAACACAAGAAGATAATAAAAAATGGAAGAAATTACCACGTCATAATATAACGTCGTTTTCTATTGGTTGTTACCAGATATCAAGGATAACTTGTTTTCATTTTCATGTAAGAAACACTTCAGAAAGACAAAGGTTAGTATAACTATTTCATTTCTGTGCTCTTATTTTTTTAATTTCAATAGGCAATATTTAATATATAAAGGGATGGTTTATTTCGTTGAAACCGTTCTGAGGTCGACATAAATAAATGACACTCTATTTACGTGCTCCTATATCAAAAATGAATTACTTATATGGAAACAATTGTAGTAATTGTAATTACTTTTTTAACAAATATTTAAATATTTAAAATACATTTTGTAATCTTTATAATTAGTTTAAAATTTCGGTAAAGTATTACTGAAAATTTAAAAATTATTTGCGTTTTTATTGTTTATTTTATTGGATTACTTTAAGGTTGTATGATACTCACGTGTCTAGAATATTTAAAATGCTCTGCAGCACTCAATGAAATATTCATTTAATTCAATTATTGTCTTAATGGGAACAAAATAATCTCAGATTACTTTAATCCCATTCATTATTATAAAAGCTGTAAAGTAAATTTGAACAGGTTCTTAACCTCTGTTCTATATTTTTAAACAGGTTTATACATTAATGTATTGAAAGAATATATCCTATAATAGATTATTGTGTCAGAACCAATAGTTAAAAAATGTGACAAGAAGCTAGTTGGCAAGACAAGATTAAATATTCAGAAAGTTAATGAGAAAAACGAGTCAACTGTCTAATTTTGTCTTATGTTTTATTTTTGTGCTTTACAGTAATTAATTTATACATAATTCCACAACTTTTATATACAAGATACCATGCCAAATTTCGTTTCAGAATCCTTATGCTATTCTGTAATATTAAATGAAATAGAATTATGCTAATGTAATTTATCAGTATCACTGGATTGTATTTAAAATCATACAAAAAAAATAAATAATAATTTAATTAAAAATTACAGCATTACCTGGCAACAATGGATATAAAAAGTTCAATATTTGAGGAAGACAAAGAAGAGTTTCCTTGGGATAAAAATGCTCTGAAGAGTTTTAAAAAAATTATAAGTAAGTTATATATTCTTATTGTAATTAGAAATACAACATAAATTTATTTAATTTATCATGTTATACTCTCTATAAGTAAATGTTTTATAACTTTCGTACAACTGTGACAATAACAAAATATTAGCAGTAAAATTGTAATTTCTGAGCAAATAAGTCTCACAATATTGATATTTGAAATTTTTGTTAAGACAATATACTTACGGTTGTGTTTGACCTAACTGATTTGAATATTGTCAAGATTGTAGAAGACTTTATTAGAGATCAATGATTTTTCAGTACAATTCCAGATATGGAATTATACTTGAACAGAAATGTAGATAATATTGACAGGTGCAAAAAAAAGGCACAGAAACCGTATTTCTAGATATTACTCATCGCGAGATATATCTCTTCGGAATTATCCTACTTCCAGGAACGATAGGGAATTATATTGAGTGCTTCGCTAAGACTATAACTATTTAGTCCACTTTGAATAATTGACTTGACTATGCTGGGTGTACATGAGGTTATATAGTTTTAGGGGAGTATAAGCGAGCACATCAGTGCTCCGGAACCGGCGACCATTGAGGAACTAAATTTACAGGCCAAATATCTCGTGAATGGTCACACATAGAGGTATGGTTCTTTTGACTTTTTGCTCCTATTGATATGGTCTACAGCACTGTTAAGAATTCAACGTTTTTATTTACATCTGCAATTCTATCGAGTTTTTTGCAAACACAGAAAGTTAGTGAAGGTTAATCGATCTTATCTACGAAAGTCTGGTACAATACATTGGAGGAAAAAGCATGGATATTTTCTCGATTTATTAACTGAATTATTTTATACCATAATTAACACGGTTTTATTTTATACAGTAATTATTTGTTAATAATTACTAACACGCAAGGATAAATTAAACAATATATTGAGGGATAAACTTTGCGAATTACAGTGAACAAGTGTATAACTATTAACATGAAATTAGAATATTAGGAGTAAGATATACAATAGCATTAGTTTTGTAGCTTGATGTTCTTTATTGTTCCTAAAATATTACAAAGATATAACGAAAAATTCAGCAAAGAGTTGCGTAACTTTTCCGGCTGTTATGAGATTTTATTTAAAAAAGTCATATTATTCTTATCAATTATTACAAAATGACAAAAAGCATAATTTTGTAGGTAGAGGTGAAGTTTATAAAAAGTATTGTAAATGCTAATAACGAGTAAAATATTTCACTAATTAATTCCTATCCTACTGCAGACATGAGGACGAACAATTTCCTGCATCTTCCTATTCCTCGATTTTTAAATAACTACGAAAATTTAATGCCATCAACGGCCTTTATACACAAGAGGTCCTCGAAAAATACCCGAACTATGCCAAATCCCGTTTCTTAACCGATATCTCGGGCAACGATTTTACAGGAGCTGTCTGCACCCGAGATAACTCGGGCTAATTTAAATAATCGTACGTAACTTTTCGTTGCTCAAATTAATTCACATAAAGCTTATTTATATTCTATTGCATGTTATTTATGACCTCAGCAAGTTTCGTAATTTTATATCCAATAGAAGTTTGTTTTGGACCATTTTTTTGGTCCCTATCTATAGAAACAGTATGTCGAATCGAAAAAATCGTGACGTATTTGAGTATTTACGGTAACTGATGCATATTTGTCTAGAAACTTGTCCTTTCCTGAGATTTTTATAAGAATAACCCGCGAATTGCTACCAGCAGCTGTTCTCAAAAAAATTTAGCTCTGTACACCAAAATGCGGCGCATGTCACGTGATAAGGTGCGATTTGTTGTTATATGAAAGATAATAAGTTTATAAATAATACGTAAGAAAGGAAATAAACTTTTATACTAAAATTTCGTAGAAATGTATTTTATAAAATGGTGTATTATAAATTACTTTAATTAATTGTGAGAGTTTTTCCTGTAAAGCTTCTTCTGTCAGGATGTTAGGTAAGTGAGGATCAAGCTTAGCATATAATATAGGTAATAACATAACAAACAAATATAAAAACGATTACAAAATAACGTAATATATTTTAGTATTTAGGGAATGACTAACACATGTCTAGAAACCCACTTTCCCTCAGGCATTGTTAGAAAAATACAGTCGACCCCCCTATAAGATCATAGATACGTTTCATTCTTTAGGAATCTGATTTCTAACGAGTCCTTCCAATCACACCCCGACACGTGTAAAGTTTACGGACTACGGCTGATTGAAAGGTTTTTTCGTCCATAAAATTAATCGATTCTAGACTAATCCGACTCAACATTTCCAAAATACATATATATTTTTTGGAAATAATCCGTATAAACTACGCTATAAACAAAAAATTGTAGGATTACTTACCGAGTGTGCACCATTCGACATCGCCATTGCTCAAGCTTGTTTTCGTCGCGGAACAGCTCAGCAAACAGAGGCCGATTTCTAACAACTTATTTTTCTGCGAAAACTTCGTTGAACTTTGGAGACATCATTAATATAAATAATTTTAATCGCCGTTGAATAAGAAATGTTTCTTTCACAAGAAATGTATAAAATTACAGTACTGTATTAGACTTACG